TCGGTACCTAAGAACGATACGATGTCTAACGTGTCACGCAAATTTCCGAGGCTTACCCACTAATCCTATCCATTCTAATTACGAGGAAAATCAATCAAGAATTAAATGTGCGATCAAGGTCAATCAAACCAAACAATCCTAAATTGTCTCTAAAAATGAAATCCAACCAAAACATCCAAACCCTAATAAAGCCCTAAAGGCTAGTTTATTCCATGATTTGTGTCTTTTTAGGGTTTTAGGGTTTTTTAAGGGTTATAACCCTTAAATTTGAGATCTTTCTAAAAATGCCATTTAGGCACTTCCAAAAATTCAAATTTCACTTTCCAAGGTTGGCCACAGTGTTTTTGAACCATTCTGTGAGTTTTTGAAATTTTTGATTTTTTTTTTCGGAAATTGAATTTTTGAGAATTTCATTAATCGAGAATTGTTTTTTATGATTTTCTGAAAATTTTTATGGATTTTCAAATTTTCAGATTTTTTTAGATTTTTTGAATCTTCACATTATTTATTTATTTATTTATTTTGGAATTTTCTGGATTTTTATGAATTTTCTAATTTTTTTTTGAATTTTTATGAAATTTTCTAATTTTTGAAGTTTTTATGAATTTTTCGAAAATTTCTAATATTTTTAAATTTTTTCTGATTTTTTATTGAATTTTTGGATTTTTTAGATTTTTAATTTTTTATTATTTTCCCGCCAAGAAACGAACGGGACCGGCCCGGTTCAATCCGGTTCGGTTTGGCCGAACCAGGCCTCGCCGGCGCCGGTCACCGGTTGTCTTCTCTGGCGAGAAACATCGGCAAAACGGCGCCGTTTTTTGCCTGCTTCTCTTCGGCATTTTGCCGAACACCAGGTGAGCACGAAACTGGGCTAGACGTTCTCGAGGCCGCCGGTTTGAGCTCACCGTCGGTGAGCCTCCGGTGACATTTTGTCCATTTTGTTTGATCTATTATCGAGTTCATGTCATCTAATATCAATCTAATCCAATCGGGATGCCGCCGGACGCTCGCCGGCCGGCGAAAAATCGACCTAAACAATCTAACTTGCAAACTGTTCTAACATAGCTATTCAAGTTCTCAAATCGCAACACAAAGCGCCCTAGCCATCTAAATCGGTTGTAACTACTAACAAAACGTCAAACAAGGATCAAAGAAGACTAACTTGAGTGGCCTAAGGCCAAGGCGACACTCCGGCGACAATGTCTGAGCTCCGGCGAGGTAGTTTAATGCATGACCGACTCGGTTTATGCATTTTTAATGCCCAAAAATGCAATCAAACAACATAAAAAATGATCAGAACATGTTTTAGGCGCTAGTATGACAAAATCGCAACGAAAAATGCACGAACAAGCCAAAAACACATTCTAGAAATCAGTAAAAACCGAGGCTGCGAACGATTTTTACCTTCTTCGTTCGACAATCAAAGGACTTCTCCAAGCTGATTTGATGCTATAGAATCCTTCTTCGACACCTAGGCTTCGAGTAGGTGATCTCGAAATCTCCGGGGATGATCTGGACACGCCGGCCGAGGTCGATTTCCAAGGGTTCGCGATCAACTTCAACTCTGGTTCGCTGGTGAGGAAACTCACTGACGAGATTGATTTGCCGGCCTCATAGAGTCTCTACCCACTCATCTTACTAGAAATCGCGCTTTCTCGCTCTATCTCTCTCTTCTCTCTCTCTGGGATTCTCTCGAGCACCTTGTCCTCCTAATGTTCAGTTTTTTTCTTGTTTTCGTTGATTGATTTTTCCCGCCCAAATTCAGTTAGAACCGACTTCCGATCGGTTGGATCGATTCTCTGGCGCCAGCCGGAGATTCTCCAGCTTGCCAACTCAATTAAAACGTGTTAAATTGATCGGAGAAGGTCGGCAAAGTCCCGGGGCTGAAGATATTTTCTGGGTTTTATGGGCATTCTGGGCAAACCGGGTCAGGAAGAAGACTGACATGGTCGGATCGGGTTGACCGGGTCGACCCGACAGGCCCGGTTTTACTTAAAAATTCGAATTAAGTCCAATTTCGACCAAAATTTTCAAATTAAACCCCAAAATTGAATTCCTCATCATATTCTAAACCCAAACATGTGATTTTCCCCAATTTTTGTCATAATCATGTCTAAGATTTTCAAATTTTTATACTCAGGTTAGTAGGGTTTTGTTCAATTCAATGTCTTAACGACCTGATTAGGCAAAATTAGTGCCAAAATTGAATTACCCACATCTGATTAACCTTAGAAATGATGATCTTATGGTTCGATAATTTCGAATTGGACACGATTCCCAATTTGGGTTTAAAAATTCCTAATTTTCAATTGAATTTTGGGGTTTTCTGATTTCTTTAACAAATTGTGCAATTGTACTGACCATTATGTAATTCAAGGTCCCAGAATCATTTGTTGTGAAGACACTATGACTTAAAAATGACTAGAAAAGATTTAATTGCATTTTTGGTTCAATTCGGGTTTGATTTTGCCCAATTTTGGGAAAAACACATGCCCGATTGAGATTTTCCAAAATTGATGATGCATTAGTGAAATTGAATTTAAAATAATACTCATGAATATTTTTATGGAATTTTCTGATTCCATTTGCTATTTTTCTTGATTTTCTCACTCATTTTGACTAAAAGAAATTAAAGAAAAATTCAAGAAAATGCTACAAAAATCATTTTTGGTTTAGAAATAGGTTTCTAGGCTTGGCCAAGATTCCTAATCCTAATTTTGAGATTTTTGAAAATATAAAAAAAATGAGCAAAAAATCAAGTGTCAACACATGTCCCATACCATGCGTAGCAATATTCACTCCATAATCAAACTCTATGCAACATGCGTGTTCCATTTATCACGACTCCTCTGGGCCACTACATATCAAGCGATACGCAGCGAGATGGTAGTCTTCCGGCATGATCGGGCATCGTCCCGCCCCATTAGGCACATCAATGTCAAACGATCTACAGGATGATTGCATTCCAATACGACAACATCCAACGATCTACAGTAAGATGGTATCCCGTAAGGAGCATCGAATCCGCCATTAGGCGACGATTCGGCATCCGGAGTATCGGCAATCCAGATAATCTCCAAGCATTCAATAAAATCGAGCGCGATTTGCAGCAAACCTCGATAAATCGGGCATCGTCAAGCGATCTACAGCAAGACGGCTTTGACATGTGACCACACAAACACACAATCATTTAGGCCAATTCTTATCTTTTCAATTAGCCAATGCAAATATGAACTGTGCTCGAATCAATGCCACATAACCATTTTGACGTGATCACATATGCAAACAGTCGCTCAATTTTGTAAATCATCAGTTCGAAACGCGCTTTTCGTTCTCAAAGCCTCAAATTTCTTTCTCAAACATAATTATAAAATAATTTATTTTCAAATATTCAAAATCTTTTCTCGAAACATAATCATTCAAATCATTTGGCCATATATGCCAACTTATACGGCGAAATCCAACATTGGCTTCACAATTTGTGCATAAAACAATCACAATTTGATATTAAAAATCATTCGAAAATATTAATTTTTAATTTTCGGAATTTGAATATTTTATTAATAAATATTTTTTTAAGAATAAAATATTTTTATTTAATTCCGAAAATTAATTTATTTAATAAAATAAATAGTAATAATAAAATAATAGATAACTTATCATCAAAATAGCGATAACTTATCGCGAACACAACAATAGCCTATCACATAAATAATCATAGCTTATCGAACCATCACTAATAGCCTATCACAATATCACCAATAACCTATCGTCAATTTCACCGATAACCTATCACCGATTTCCAACGATAACTTATCAATCCAACGATAACCTATCATCTATGGTTATCAAATAATTCGCCCATAACTTATCCACTAATTCTATTTAAACAACCATTAACTTAATCTAAACCTAAATTAAATTACCCTAAGCAAGTTTAACACCCTAAACACAGGATTAGGGGTTAACTTTCATGCCTAACTACGGCGATTTCGCGAGAACAACGGCGACGACGCGGCTGTCCACGGTGGTTTCCGGTTTGGGCTCGGCAGATGGCGGATGGCGGCGAACAAGCGCGGCGAAGGGAGTGACTGCTGTGGGGCTGTTCGGGGGTTGTTCGGGGCTATTCCAGACGTGGATTGGCGGCTGGTGGTGTCAGCTAGGCGATTGGACAGTGGCGGACCAGCAGCTGAGCGATGGGGATGGATGGCGAGCGACGAAGCTAGCGTTCTAGCAAAAACCAGCTGGCTGTAGGTAGCTAAGGGCGGTACTGCTCGGCTCGGAAGGAGCTGGGGTAGCGGTGGTGCAGTGGCGAGGTGGAGTGGTGCTCGGCAGTGGACGCATGGTGGGCGAGCGCGTCTTGTGCTTGGCTGGGACGAAGCGGCGACGGTTATTGTGGTGCAGCTGGTGAAGGCTGTTCGGACAGAAATGAGGCCGAGAAGGGTGGTGGTTCAGCGGCAAGGAAGGGCGGTGCATGGTGGTGGCTAGTCCAGCACCAGCTGGTCCGGTCGGTTGGCAACAGAGAAGTCGAGAGGAAGCTGAAGAAGACGAAGCCGAAGGAAGCAGAAGCACGAAGAAGCAGCAGCAGCAGCGAAGCCAAAGAAGAAAAGAAGAAGAAAAGGAAGAAGAAGAAGAAGAGAAGAGAGAGAGAGAGGAGTCGATGGAGTCGATGGTGGGGTTTAGCGCGAAGTTTTTTTTTTTTTGGTCGACAATACGCTTAGCTTTCATTAGACACTTGAAACTGACTCACATGAGTTTCCACAATCATAACATAAGAGAGACCACAGGATACGGGGAGGTTTAGAAATCCAGTTTGGAGTTAAGGAATTAGTACGCTGGGCCTTCGCCACCCAATCCGCGGCCTGGTTGGAATTTCTGGAACAATGGGCTAAGGATACCCCTTTTAGTTGGGCCATCAATTTTCGGCAGTCTTCGACCACTGAACTCACGGTCCACGGACTTTCTTCTTGGCCCGAAATCCACCTCACGCACGCTTGGCTATCGGACTCCACTTCCACGCACAGATCAGAGAAGTCACTGTACAGATCACTTTCCCTTTCCTTTTGACTTTGAAGCTTCAACAGAAAAGAGAGTACTTCACGTAGAGCAAGAGTTTTCGCCACGCTAGCTGATGGGGCTTTAAAATTCCTCGCGAACCCAAAAATTATGAGTCCATCTTGGTTCCGGAGGACTCCCGCAGCTGCGGCCTCTCGTGTTTCACTGCACCAAGCCGCGTTGACGTTCAATTTGAGGTTCCCCTTCGCCGGCGGAGACCAACGATCTACTAAGGTTTTCACCTTTTGTGTTCCTTCCTTTTTGTTAGTGTTCCACCTCTCAAACACTTTATAGTCGATAATTGCTTCTTCCATTATGTTCATGGGTTCGGTTTGCGCTGCTGGAATACCAAGGCGTTACGTGCCTTCCAAATCAACCAGATAATGCCGGCCAAGATCGCCGAACGAGGGAGGGTCTTCCGACGAGGAAAGGGTGTCACACAACGACAGGTAATCCGCAAGCCACTTGTCCATTCTGGAGATTTTGGTAGCTGAGGTGTCTAGATTTAACCGAGAGTCTAACCAAACATTTCTTGTCCATTCGCAAAGGAGGAGGAGGTGTTCGGGAGTCTCCGGGACTCGGCGGCAAATCGGGCAGAGAGGATGAGGTGCCATCTTTCTTTTGTACAGATTTTCTTTTGTCGGTAGAGCATTTGTGCATATGCTCCATAAGAAATGACGAACCTTGGGGTAGACTGAGATTTGCCATATTTTAGTCCATAAGTTCCTAGGAGGCTGATATGATGACGATGCCTGATTCATCTGTTGTTGCAAAATTTGGGAGCATAACCTATTGCAGCCACTTTTAACCGAATAGACTCCTTTTTTGTTCCCTGTCCACACCAAAGTGTCCTCCGAGGGGTTTGTGCTTAGTGGGATTGTCAGGATTTCTTGCACCACATCTTCTTCGTAAATTTCCTTAATCAATTGTGATTTCCATTCATGAGTCTCCTGGTTAATCAGTTCTGCTACGAATTTTGGTACATCCTGGTTCAACGGGCCTACAAGTTTGCTGGAAGGGAGCCACTTGTCCTCTTTAATTTTTATCTTTTTGCCGTCACCTACTTTCCATCTAGCATCTGCCTCAATTATGTCTCTACCCATTAGTAGACTCTGCCACCCCCAGGATGGGCGATGGCCCTTGTTGGCTTGCCAAAACTCACCACGGGAAAATAGATTCCCTTTAGTACCTAACTCCAAAGGGCATTCGGTGCTTGTATTAGTCGCCGGGCCTGTTTTCCTAGCATTGCCTTATTAAAAGCAATAAGGTCCTTAAAGCCTAAGCCACCTGCGTCTTTCATGATTTTCAGAAGTTCCCATTTTCTTCAATGGATACCTGCTTTGTCTGCACTTTGCTTCCACTAGAAGGAGGAAATCTTCTGCTCAATCGCTCTACAAATCGAGATAGGAATCTTAAAAATGGACATTGCATAATGTGGCAAAGATTGAATTACAGTTTTAATTAGGATCTCCTTCGATAATCAGCTTTTCCTTCCACCCCTTTAGCTTCATATTAACCCTTGCTAATATCCAGGCAAACATTTGTTTCTTTGACTACCCCTAATCTGATGGGATGCCTAAATACTTGCCGGTTTTGTCAATAATAGGAACTGTAGCTGCTCCGCCATATTCCTCTTCAGTAACTCAGGGCATCCATTGCTAAAGAAAATACCTGACTTTTGCAAATTGATAGCCTGGCCCGAAGCATAGCAATATTGGTTCAAAAGACTTGCCAAATTTTGACATTCACGGACTATTCCATTCAAGAAAAAAATTGCATCATCCGCAAATAATAGATGTGATAATGTTGGACACCACCTATTCAGCTTTATACCTCTGATGCTGCCCTCCTCAACTACTTTGTTCAATAGAGACGATAAGGCATTGGCCATAATAATAAACAAGTACGGCGATAATGGATCCCATTGTCTTATGCCCCGGGACGGCTGGAAGTCCTGTAGGGATTCCCCATTAACTTTGACGCTAAAAGAAACCGTAGATATGCATTCCCTAATTAACTGAACCCATCTGTTACTGAAGCCCATTTTCAGCATACTAGCACACAGGAAATCCCACTCCACTCTATCATAAGCTTTCTGCATGTCCAACTTGAGTATTGCTTGGAACTTTCTTTCCCTTTTCCTAGTATGCAACTGGTGGAGTACTTCCTGAACTACTACTATGTTGTCTTGTATTTGCCTCCCACTCACGAATGCACTTTGTTCGGTGGAAATAAGTTCAGAAAGCCAAGGTTTTAGACGGTTGGCCATGACTTTGGAAATGATTTCGTAACTGAAATTACATAAGCTAATTGGCCTATATTGAGTAATGCACTCTAGGTTCGCCACCTTAGGAATAAGGACTATATAAGTATGATTTAGGGTGGGGTCAAGCACACCTGACGTGAAGAAATTATCCACCAAACAGTAGACATCATGCTGTATACTCTCCCAGTTATGCTGATAGAATTGGCCATTCAGTCCATCCGGTCCTGGGGCCTTGGTTGCACCCATTTGGAACACAGCTTTTTTCACCTCGTCAATCGACACTCTTCTCATTAAGGCCTCGTTCATCCCCTCTTTAGGAGTGTATGGGCATTGATCAATCACTGGTTGGAAATTTCTGTGTCCTGTTGACTCATATAAAGCCTGATAAAATGATTGGATATGTGACTTGAGCTCTGAAGGATCCCTGCTCCATCTATTCTCCCCCATTTTTAGCATAGAAATTCTATTTCTTTGTCTTCTTTGAATCGTGGTGGCGTAGAAGTATTTGGTATTTCTATCTCCCCACTTTAACCAGCTGATTCGGGACCTCATACTCCAATACATCTCTTCTTGCCTCCATAGTCTCTCAATTTGCTCCTTGATTTGTTGAATGGCCACTTTTCCCCTTCCCCCGTCCGAGCTGTTTGTCATGTTCGTTAATCTCCTCATCAAGAATTGTATTTTGTTTATGTGCATTTGAGAATCTCCTCCTACTCCACCTAGTCAAGGCTTCAACCACTTTTCTCGACTTACTCACAAAATCTGCATTATTGTTTGCCTGGTCATGCCATGCCTCCTCCACAATGTCTCTACATTCTGGTTCGTCTAGCCAATAAGCCTCAAAACGGAATTTCTTTTTCCTCTTATCCTTGGGTGGGGCTAGGGATAATAAGATTGGGCTATGATTGGAGCCAATGGCCGGTAGCGCATAAGCTTTTCTCCTCGTGGAATAACACCCTCCATTCCATGTTACATACCACCCTATCTAGTCTTTTCCTTACCAATTCCTCACCGTCTCTATTGTTTGCCCACGTATAAGCACACCCTTTACTCTCTACGTCCACGAGTTCGCAATCATTTAACATATCCCGGAAAGCCACCAATCTATAATAATCCTCCTCTCTTTTACCTACCTTCTCCCATTGATACCGTATCTCATTAAAGTCACCCATACATATCCAAGGGAGTCTGTTTTCATGGTGAATATATCTCAGCTTTCGCCATAGGAGGAGCCTTTCCTGAAAGTTAGTTGGTGCATAGAGAAAAGATACACGCTTTCTCTTTCCGCTACTAAGATCCCTGCATATTAAATCTACAAGATTCTCCATGCTTTCCACCTCCTCCATCGTCACCTCCTCATCCCACATAGCTGCTAAACCTCCAGCCAAACCTTTTGGGTCTACTATCACAAAATTCTGAAAATTGAGTCTATTTCTAACTCCATCCACCCTTGCTCTTTTATTTTTGGTGTCCATTAAAAATATTACGTTGGGTCTTTCTTAAGCCACTAAATCTCTCAGGTGCTGGAATGTCAGGGTAGAACCCAGACCCTGACAATTCCAGCTCATAATCTTCATATATCTCCCGGTGGCTTATTAGGGCTAGCCACCAAAGTCCATTCCTTTGAGCCACCCTCAATTGAAATCGGGATCTCATGAAACTGAGTAGCATCTACATTGTGGACATTAGCCCCTTGAGAATTATATGGTTCATACCTTTTCGACTTCTTCGATACTGGGGTTTGATGGTCTTCCTTCCCTTTCAAATAACTCTCGACATTATGTTTGGGAGGTGCCTCCATCCTTGGAGTATCTGAGAGTAAGAATTGGGTGCTTTGATGCCTCTTTCTTCGAGTTTCCCTGACCACTATCTCTTTTCCTTTACCCTTCAGTTTAGCGTTGTCCTCTTGTTGAGTTTCCATAGTTCTCAAACCATTAGGTTCTTCTATTGCAGTGGGCAACACACCCTCCATCACACCATCCTGGTCTGGGGTTTCCGGAAAAATTTCATCTTCGTCCAATTTCATAAACTCTTCTCCGTGGAATAGTTTCCAAAAAGGGCTAGCCTCACGTGCTTCCGCTTTTAACCAGTAGCCATAATTTCCTTCACTAACTTCTCTTGTTTCAGCTTCTTTATAAGGTATTTCCTCGCAATTAGTGGTAAAATGCCCCATCTTCCCACAAGAGTAACAAAAATGGGGAAGACGTTCATACTTGAAATCAACCCAATATTGGTCATCTTCAAAGTTCACCACGATCGCTGAAGTGAGAGGTTGTGCCAAATCTAGAAGAACTCTAGCTTTCCCCACCTTACACAGGCCACCTTCTTTCGCTTCCATCTTTATCTCTATGACTTTCCCGATCTTAGAGGCCACTTCTTGCAAAGAGTTTTCAGTTATCCTTGCTACCGGCATTCCATGAACTTGTACCCAGAAGGCACAATGCATGAAAACATGGCGGTGAATTGGTATTTTGGGGTTTAGTTGCACGAGGATGAGTAAGTTGCTTGAGAAGGACCATGGGCTACCTTCCAAAACCCTCTTCTTGTCGCTCTCCGATCTGAATGTAAATGTGAACAGACCTTGTTGCGGTTGATCTACTACCACGTTATCCGTTTTCCAAGCCTTTTTCATAGAAGTTAGGAAGGCCTGAAAATTAACATTGGGCCTAGAGTGGAGTTTGCCCAGTAAAGTCAAATTACAAGCCTCCAATTTCTCCTCAGGAATTTCCTCGAACACGCTGGCTACAGAGTTCTTCGTCTACATTTTCCCCATTCGATTACAAAGGGCTACTAGTCTACGTTCTTTTAACCTTTCCTTTTCCATTCTACTCACTCCGTTGTTTCTAAACAGGTATGTGAAACCTTCAGAAGACAATGCCGTATGCTTACCAAGAGGGATGACAGTTTCCGCTTCCAGTTTGATCGCCAGTTACCTTTTCAATCTATTGTTCCTGCAACCAGGGGGCTTGTGTAGAACTTTCTATAATAGGCGAGTAGCATTGATTCACGGCAATAAACTTGAAGGATGAAGGGAGCTTAGGAGCCAATGGATTAAGTGGAATTAGGGTTTAACGGGGAAGAATTAGATTTTGTGATTTAGGGCATGGAATGGGTGAAATGGATATGGTAACTAGGACTCCAGAGGTGATGATGGTGTTGCGTCTGTCCATGGGTTTGGTGGGGTTATGATGGTTACATTGTGTGGATGTAGGGGTAATCGATGGGTTCTTATGGTAATGGAAGAGGATTTGTTGTAGACTGAAGATTGGCGATTATGTGAGGGTGCAATGGAAGCAAATCTACCTAAGGGTTTCACGGGAGTAAGGTTAGCTGTTAGGGTTTAGCTATCACCATGGATAGAGAGAGCTCTCACTGGGGAGAGGGAATGAGAAGACGTGAATTCTACAAAAGGGAAGAGAGAGAGAGAGAGAGAGAGAGAGAGAGAGAGAGAGAGAGAGAGAGAGAGAGAGAGAGAGAGAGATGGGTTTAATCATTATCCCCAAAAAAATCTTCCAATAATTTCTTTTGAAATTTTCTCAATTTGTCCCCTAGAATTACCACTTTGTCCTCGGCCCGAGTACCGAATTACGGCTGACTTGTTCTTATCGAGCCTTGATGGTTGGCCTTTCTCGGGCACGAAGCCCAACTGGCTTTGCTCGGCCCACTTCTGTATCTC